ACTTGTTCCATCACTGTGTCAGTAATTTGTTTCACAGCGTTTTCGAGATCCTGCTGTGTGGCAACACGCTGCTTGTTCTCTTTCAACTCTAAGACTGCGCCAGGCTTTTCTTTCTTGATCTGTGCTTCCGACGGTTCTAGGTGTAGATCTCGGTGGTCGCCGTATCATTAAAAAACGTCCTGAGAAGAATCAGTTTCTTCCCGGATTCGACGGGCATCTTGAGTCTGATCAGGCTCTGTTTTGCAAGCCTGATTGTTGCCATTAACCCCTGCGGGCTTTTTCGCCGGAGACTCCGACTCGTCATAGTAAGACGACGACGAAGAGGAGGACGAAGCTGCTTTCTCAGGCGCAGCCTCCTCAGTCACAATTGCACCAGGTGCGGCTTCATCGTCATCAACAGGACCAGGTTCGTCCTGCGCGCAGCTTTCCAGCGGCAAGGCTTCTGCAGGTGGCTGCGCTTCGGGCGCATGAGCCAGATCGGCCGCAGCAGCCGAAGAAACAGTTGCTGTGGCCGAAGCAGCCACCTCCTCAAAGACTTCATCCTTGACATTGTCAACCAGCGCAGCAAGGGCTCGCTCAACTAAGTCCTGGCTGTGTGGCCCGTTTGGGGGGGCCTTCCCTGAAAATGTCCAGCGCAGTCTGTGTGCACCCCAAGCCCAGCTCAGACTGTAGGGACCAAAAATCAGCAACCATTTTCGTCATTGATGCCATCCACTCATCCCACTTGTGTCTCGGACGCGGAAAATCCTGATACTGGGCTTGGAACCAGAATCCCTCCTTCAGTGACTCCTGAGCACCGAAACCCAAGGATAGCAAAGCATCCCAGTCATCATCGATGACAGCGGTCATGCGCTCACTGTGCTTGCGTTTGTCGTCCTTGCGCTTGACCAGGTGGATGTTTGACTCCGGAATTCCCAGCGAGCAACAGAAACGAATTACCCAATGAGTCTTACTTGGGTAATTGACCCGGCTGACAACTTGGGGATACCTGCCAGTGCGGTGGTGCAGCAGGTGCACAAACATATAAGCATTTGGGGCAGCTGCTTCATGAATTTGCTCTCCATCGAAACGAGTGTCACCTTTACTGCTCAAGACGCCACCCACATCAATGGCTACATGCTCAGCCGAAGCAGCCGCATGCATCTTCTTCCGATAAGTTTCCCCCATCAAAGCGGCCGAAGCAGCCGCTGAGTGGCCACAGAAGCCGTAAAATTGAGCCAAGACTGCGACAACCCAAGTATACTAACACTGCAACCTGCGACCACAACGACGACCACGACGACGACTACTACGACAACGACCAAGGAAAACAGTCTTTGTATGGACAGGACAATCCGTCTGGTCCTTAGGAGGTTCAAGGACGTCCCCGATGCTCGGTTGGAGAGGACAAACACGGGACAAAGCCTTGTAGAACAGTACCACTTAAGGGAATTGCAGTTTCCACCCCCCCTTCGCCCTCTCCTTAGGAGGTTCAAGGACGTCCCCGATGTTCGGTTGGACAGGACAATTCGTCCTGTTGATAGGAGACTGTCTCTTATTTTCAGGGTGATTCCCAACTAAAGTGCCTGCAGAGCCAGAAAACCCGATCCAAGTTCTAAACCCTGAAACTTTTTCAGAAGGCTGTGTGTCAGAAATCTCGTGGCTAAGTATGGCCAAAGCAGCCATGCTTGGCCGCAGCAGCCAGGCAGTGAGAGTTCCTAGAAGCAGTGGCCGAAGCAGCCACTGCTGGATGAGGCAGGAAAGGTTTTGAACGCAAGGCCATTGTTTCCTGAACTAGCTGGTGGAACCCGTCGAACCATTCCCTTTTCATTTTCTCCCATGTGAAGCCGCCATAGTCTCCAGGGCATGTTTTCGCAAGTTCCTCCAGAAACAAAGCCGCCACTGAAAATTCCTTCTCTGTTACTTCAGTAACCTGCATCCGTTCTGGGTTCTGTGGAAGAGCGAAGACCAGATGCTCATCTGGCTGTTGATCCCATGGCAGGATACGGATGGTGGTGAGCAAGTCCAAGCTGACTTGAACCTCGTCCTTGCGCATTGGCTTCATGTACGGATTCATATTTGTGTAAATCCAAAATATTGAGTTCCGGGTGCACTCGATGGTGTTATCATAGGGCTCAAAGTAGTGCTGCGTCAAAACCTCCCTTGTCACTTGGGCGTAGGAGCAAAAGTCTGACAAGGAAGTGGGCGCGGCCATGGAAAGGGAGGAAGCAGGGCAGAGGAGAGCTGGTGAGCCTCAAAACTGTGACATGACAGTTCCAGTTCTATAATAACTGTATTATATTTTTGGTATTATAGTTTCCAAGTTGCATTTAGTTTCCAGGTTGTCATTGTTTAAGGTTAAACCTGTTTTTTTTATCCCCTGGTCCACTGAGCTGTCTGTGAAAACCGAAACTAAAATTTGCTTTGTTGTACAAAGCAGGGCAAATGATTGCCACTACACCCAAAGGCCGAATCAGCCAAATATCCTGCAGAGGCCGAAGCAGCCCTGCCTCACTGATCCATGACTGGAAAGTCTACAAGCTTGGAAGCCAGACCTGCTGAGAACATTGCTTTCTGCAAGACCTCTCCAACAAGGGGCACAGGAACACAATTATCCAGCATTCCTTGCAACTGGCTTTTGCTCACCAGTTTGTCCCAGCCTTGCAGCTCTGTGCTTGGACTGATTCCTGAGACCTTCAACATTTCTGTGGTTGACAAAGTTCGGCCACGACTCGAAATCCAAATGCCACCGCTTCTGGCACGTCCTTGACACAGGGTTCTGCTGATGTCAATCCCGAAATTTGCATAAGAAGCCGAACAACCAATATCAATGGCCACTGGAACTTTTCGAGGGTCAATACCCTTGGAGTATGACTTTTTGTAAGCGTCTAAAGCTAAGGCTCGAGACCGTGGATTTTTGGCAAACGCCCAGGCTTGTCAGCAGGCGTGGCCGGATCCAGAGCAGAAGAAAGAGTGCGCTTGCCACGTTTCCG